TGGGGGCCTATATGGCAGTAAACTACCAAAGGGGGAGGAAGAAAAGAGGGGGAAGCCAAGAGCGCGTTCCTGCTACCACACCTTCTCTGTGTAGAATTTAATCTGAAAGGAAGGGGGTTTGTGGAATATTTTGATATACGCTAAGCCATATTCATCTTACAGAAAATGTGTTTACTGCAGCTACAGTAGCAGTATATTTTATAGATTCTGAGAAAAATAAAACAAGTGGTAAGAACTGCATGACTAGATATGCACCTACGCCAATTGACTGGTGAACTGGGGCACGGAGGCGAGTGAGTCTTTCTGTGGTGCACATTGAAACCTGGAGAAGCACAGATTTCCTATATAATTTTATTTCTTTGAGAGTGCTATTGCTCTTACAAACAGCAATGTATTATCTTAAATGAGGATGATAACATGGTTAATAAGTCACAGCACATGTGGTTGTAAGGTTTTTATCATGCTTTGAAACATTTGCTAATCAACAAGATTTCTCCTTTTATGAAGCCCATTTTGTAGAGTTCCATAAACAAGGTTCAACAGTCACAATTTCATTAGCATTATATTGTTGCCATGGTAATGTGGTACCAATTCAATTGATGGGCTTTTCATCCTGGGCTTATTATAGAATTGTTCTTCCCGTCAAAGATAGATCTATATGGAAACAGCAAACAGACCTTATCATCTGAATATTAGCACAAAATTTCATCATATGCTAATTTGGATAGGAATGTATCATGTTATTGGCATCAGACCCAGAAATCATCAGAGACATGATAGAAGTTACTAAAAAACATACATGGCAAAGTCACACTCCAAAATTAGGAAAATTACTTGCATTGTTTGCTGCAGTATCTGAATTTGTTATTGCAAAAGCACTTGGCTCTGCTGTGATCATTCTGTGTAATGCAGTTGGGAGGGCACAGTGCTGCAGGTGGTAATGTGAAAGGAAAAAAAAAGCAGTGACAAATGCTAAAGAATAAAACATGAGCTGAAGGGATGTTGGTCCTTCTCCTGTTTGCACATTCTGGGGCATGTTTTGGGGAAATCGCTGCCAAACGCAACGCCTTGGCTCCCCGGTCTGTAAAATGGGGATAATGACCCCTCTCCCCCTGTGTGGAGCACCTGGCGTATACCCAATAACAAGTGATAGCTGGTACTGCTAAACATTGTTATTAAGTAAAGCAGCAATGTTTTTAACAGCTCCTGAAAAATACACTGCACAGATCTACAATTTGAGAAATGTCACTGAGAGAATCTGGACTCACCCAGAGAAACACAGAAGAGCTGGCAGACCGAGCAAGCGACAGAATATATGCACTTATGGAGGAAAGATACATAGTTAAAAAATCATGACAGTTTGTAGTTTTTTAAAAATAAAGAATATTGTAGGCTACAGGAGAAGTATCTGATGCAATCTGAGCAAGGAGAGCAACAATACAATATAAGGTAACAGCAGGGTGGCTTGTTTATTGTATGTTGAAACATTTTCTTGTATATTTTCACTGTTTTTTGATGATTGTTTCCTATTTAGATAGGAAATATCTTTTTCCATCCTGACACATAATGTTCAGTCTATCATTTCTTAGCTTAATCATGTTGCGTCCTTTGCAGCAGCAAGGGTAAATTACAGTCAGGATAGTATTCAGTATAATCAAAGATGTGTTCCATTTTACATGATAAGTTTTGTCTGATTTACAAAGGCTGTATCTTCTCCAGCTGAGAAAGGAAAGAGAGACCTTCACTTGCAGATAAAAAACACCTCAGAGGAGAGGCTTCTCCTCCATTAGGATCCTATTGTTCATATAAAAAAATAACCATTGTTATGACTATTATCTATTTATTTATTTTTACTGTGATATAGCCACAGGACCCAGCTGAGACTGGGACCTACTTCTGCCAAGCACAGCAAAACCACACAGAGAACCATGGTCTCTTCTTCAGACAATTTATAAGCTTACTAGCCATAAGAAAAATCGGAGAGGAAAGAAAATTAGAGAGGGAGAAATGGCTTAAGTAACTGACTGAATGCCAGAGGAGAAGTCAGTGGCAGAAGCAGAGCAGGTCTGCAGCCCTACTTCCCTCCATTGGGATGCATGTCCCCTTGGGAGAAGGAGATATTTGGAGATATCCTCCCCCAAATTCTGAGGATTCAGACTCTAACTCGTATACAGAGCCACGCTTTACCCCCTAATTTCAATGGCTGCATCTATGTTGCTGAGCAGGGGCAGCCTGAGGCAAAGCTTGAAGTCAGCTGTGCAGCCCACCCATATTACCTATTAAAACACCTTCAGGCTGGCTCCAGGGCAACCCTGTTAATCCTCCCAGGGACAAAGGCTCAGGAATACCCTATGTTTTCGAGCATGTTCAAGGGCACCAGGGTCAGGGTACCTGCCAGAGGAATATTAATGGGTTTCAACACAACAGCCAAAGCAATAGGGATCAGGCTTTATTTCTCTGCGGTAGGGACTTCCAAATCCAAGCCTGAACAGATGGAGGGAGGGAGGGGAGAGAGAGGAGGTTTTGGTCACAAGAGCAAAAAGTCAGTTTGCACCAGAATTTGAATGCTTTGATCATGAAGAAATTGGGTTGGAGTTTTTCTTGTGCATGCTCTCTCTCTCCCTCTCTTAAAAATCCATATAATGTAAAACGGTTAAATTCTGGGGGAGGAAGTGTTCATCTTCTGATCAGTAAATACTTTGTTTTGCCGTGTGGTGCCTGCTGACTTTACCGCTGTTGCAACCTTTTAAAATGCTTTCAGGAAATCTCATTAGATTTTAAATTTAATTTTTTATTATTATTATCAAGGAATCTGAAGAGAGTTCATAATAATCCCAATTTAACTTTTTAATAAAAACTGCAAATAATATGCCATCATGGATTTGATCTCATATACATATCTGATAAAAATTCTGATTTGCAGTAAAATTTGTTAGCTAGGGGTCTGTTGTCATCATATTAATTAATATAAAAGCTGCCAGCTTTAAAATGGCAATGTTACAGCCTATATTTTTTATAATGGTTTTGTGTTGTGCATTCAGTATTGGTGAAGCTTAAGATTTAGCATGCAGAAGTAATATCTATTATGATGGGATTGTCCACAGCAAATCGAGTAGGATGTTTGCTTAATTAAAAGTATTTATCTTAGATGATTTAAGAAGTATGTCCTACTGAACTGATAGTGTAAATTAGTTTCCTATAATCAGTTCACTGCTGATGACTCCCCTTACACTAAACAGAAGAAGAAAAAGGTAAGAGAAGAGTGAGAGGAAAGTAGCAGATCGAACGGTCTGAGAATTTGAAGGAACTTTAGAAATAACAATTAATTAACACTATGCCATTGAGCTGGGAATATACATGATCCCGCCCGTAATGCAGACAGCTAAACAGAGCCCTAGAAGGGTGCAGCTCTAGCAGAAAGTTAGGAAATGAAAACACGAAAAAAAGCCCAGATTCTCACTCCTACCTGTTAGACCTGTGCTACTTAATCTTCCCCCAGTGAGGCCCTAGGGGCACTGATACCTGGGGAGCTGACCTCGAGGATTAGTTGTGGGACAGAGCTTTGCCACCATGAGGAGACAGAGCTTGGGGCAGGATGATGTGATGCTGTGTGGGGCGTCTCGCGGGGTCTCAGCGGTGGCTTTCCCTGGCTGTGGGCAGGGTGCCAGGGGAGCAGAGCTGCTGTGGCTGGGGAATTTGGGCAGAGAGTGGAGAGCAGAGCCAAGGCAAAGGCTGGAGCTACAGAGAGAGAAGGAACTGGTCTGACCTGCTCCCCTGTGTGTTTTTAGGCATCTGTTTATAAAACTGGTGTAGTTTTTCAACCTATCTCAATGTTACAACCGAAGTCTCCTGCACTAGCCTGTTTTCCTTCCTTGCAATGCCAAATGACCCATGGAAAGCTGTAGATCTTCAGTCTATGGGGACAGTCTAACACTGGCAACTTCTAGGGGTGCTGCCCCAAAGAAGGGCCCCATCCAGTACCTAAGGAGGGCCTACAGGAGAGATGGGGAGGGCCTCTTTATCAGGGAGGGTAGCAATAGGATGAGGGGTAGCTGTTTTAAATTGAAAGAGGGGAGACTTAGATTAGGTATCAGGGAGAAATTTATCAGGGAGGGTAGCAATAGGATGAGGGGTAGCTGTTTTAAATTGAAAGAGGGGAGACTTAGATTAGGTATCAGGGAGAAATTTTTTACAGTGAGGATGGTGAGGCACTGGAACAGGTTGCCCAGAGAGGTTGTGGATGCCATATCCCTGAAAGTCTTCATGACCAGGCTGGGTGGGGTCTTAAGCAACTTGGTCTAGTGGGAGGTGTCCCTGCCCATGGCAGAGGGGCTGGAACTCTATGATCTTTAAGGTTGCTTCCAACCCAAACCATCCTATGATTCTATGATCTAACTCCTTCAAACCATCCCATCAGGTCAGGTATGTTCCTCGTGTGAGAAGCTCGTGACTCCCATTGCTGAGACCTACTTGTCTGCTTCTTGGAAAACCCTCCTGCCTACCAGACGGCCCCCCAAGACAACTGGACTTTCTGCCAGCCAGACACACAAATCAGCCACTAACTAGTTTTGGCTGAGGTTGTTGGATAAAATCTTCATAGATAGAGCCAAGAAGTCAGGCAAGACACATTTCTCTTCTTTGTGCCACAATTTGTTTTCTAATTATTTCTTCTTGTCTCCTTTTTACGCTCCAGACATTTTTTCTTTCTACATAAGGTAATAGGAAGAAATATTGTGTCCTACTCTAGTCATTTAATGTAAGTAATTTGGTTTAATTCTTATTATGAGCATTCAAGTAGCAAGTGACATTTATTGATAGATGTTACCCTTCTGAAACACTAGAAGAAATTATCTGGCTCATTCTCTGCAAATGTTGGCTTAGATGATGCTTTAGGAACGGGAAGCACCCTGTGTGACCCCTAGTCATGTGCACGGGACGGGAGCTGTCAGCGAAGCGCCTGGTTATGAATCTGGTTTTGATCTGTCCGTGTGATTTTCCAGGTGACCCTCGCACCCTGCCTACGCTCCATGCTCCCGGTTGTCAGCCCCGCGATGGCAGGCAGACAGACAGACAGACATCTGGACTCCCACTTCCCCTGGCCACCGCACCGGGAGTTTGGTGCTCCTGGAGCCGCCTGGGCGCCGCGGGACACCCACCCATCTGCCAGAGGCCTGACCCAGCCCCACCGCCGGCCGAGACGCTGCCGGGGACAGCTTCACCCTGCTTGCTGCTGCCTCCTTGTTCTACTCCTCTGAGTTATGCCCCAGCCCGCTGCGCCGCTGCCTCCGGGCTCTGCTGAGTTTTCAATTATCACAATATACAATGCAGATGCTATGTAAAACAGCTAGCATGACTCAGTAGCAGGCTGAGCTCAGTAGAAATACAGTTAAATAAAAAGGACTGCTATAATACCAGGAGGCTGATTGGAACCGCAAGATACCAGTGTCATATCCTGTGGCTTTTATGTTGGTAGATGTAGATTTTAGCCATTAGAGTCTAGCTATCCAGCAGATAACAACCAGAGGAAATGGATCTGGGTATCTTCAATTGTGAATAACTGATACGCTTTCACCAATAAAGGGAGGACCTGGTAAACTGCCAGAAGAAAACAAACTTTTGAGATACCTACAAATATAATTAGGCATGTAATATGTGGTAGCTTCTAACTGTGTGTAACTTAAACTCCCTGATTACCCACAATATATTTAAAATGGTGCATGGAGAGAGGTCTGACTTCAGAGAACTCATGTGTGGTTACATTCTCAACTCCAAATTCAGGCAAGGAAATAAATAGCAATTGCATGTCTCAACTAACCTATTTGTACAAACAGTAACAAACCCCCAGATCAGGTATCATGATATCTAGGTGGGGGTAAAATGCTATGACAAAAGAGAGAGAAATAAGCAAAAAATACAGTAGTGTAAAATGTGCCTGTTATTATATTTCTAGAAAAGCTCAGCAGCTGGAATTTTAGAATGTGCTATGTAGACAAATGTAAAAAGAGCAACACATTAAGTGTTTTTTTTTTCTCCAGAGCAAAATGAAATAGGCACACAGAGTAAATTATAATATTTAGTACTTTCAGGGCAAATTCTAGTTGAGGATCATGAAGTAATTTGAAAATATTAATGAATTAGCCTCACAGCTAGCTTTCAGGTAGATAATAATGATAATTATTACTATAAATAAATATTATTATTATCATTCTTGCTCCACGGAAATGAAAATTGAGGCATAAAGAATTTATGTATTTGTCCAAAGTCTGTGTTTTACTACTGTAACCATCCTTCTCTAGAACCATTATATATAAATTTTATCATTTTCCAAATACTGTCTGTGATATACTATTCAGTTTATGAGCTCTAAAAACCAACCAGCTGAGCTTCCTTATGAAACAGTGCCTGTGAACATCTCCATTTGCATTTGAATTCTCAAGCAGTGACAATCCTGCTTAAAAAAAATATAAAGAAAAAAGGAATCATGAAAATCAGTACAAAATCTGTCAGGGCCCCATCTGTGACTGGGTATCAGAATATCGCTAAGAAGCTCTGAGGAACAAAGTTCATTCCAAGTCTAACGCATAGTGCTTTTTGGTGGATGAAATTAATTCAAACAGGGTGAAATGAGGGCACATACCATAGAAAACTCTGTTCCTCCGCTGAGGAGTGAAGGAAAGCAGCATCTCTGCTGCGTGTGTGATCTCGGGTCTGGTACATGTAGTCATGCTTAAATACTAAAGGTTTAACATGGCAAAATATTCAGCGTGCTCACATCTCCTTTTGATAGCTACGTATACCTGCTGCTTTTCTGAGGAGTCTCATGGAATGGGTGATCTCTGGTCCTGACAAGATGAGGACTTAGATGATACGTGCTTGTTGCAAACAGCAAGCTTTCATAGCCAGCTACCTGAAGTAGTATGGAAACAAACGACTCCTCCCTGGCCTTGAAAATACCCCTACAAACATGTTTACTTCCTTCTGAATGGGAATATATAAAGGTTAGGGACACTTATTTGTATGTTTATATATTTGTATGTATGTTTGTATATTTATATATCTCCTCTTCAGGATCTGAATTCCTAAGAGTCTTGGCCTTAGCTTTTTGCTCTCACACATGCAATATTTGGAATTAACTGCAGGAAATAGGAGAGCCACAGCATTAACAGCATTTTAATACACCGTATTATTTTTCTTTCCCTTTTTTTAACCATTAGAGTATGCAAATGTTCAGTTAACTGGTCCTCATGTTTTCTCTTTATTGAATTGCTTTCACTATGGCAAATAAATATTCATAAAGAAATGTGGACAATAAATCATTTCAAATAGTTCAAAGACATTTTGCTTGTAGACTGCATATATATTCAGCTGTGACTTGCCTTTAATATTTCATTCAAGAGAGAGACGTGTAGAAGGACAATGGAGATAATGTGTCAAGTAGTAATTAAAACAGGGGGTAATGATTAAAACCATTTTGATTTACATTGTGCTCTGTCAAATTCATAATCTCCTGTGTTTGTTAAGATGACTTTCTACTTGTTTTATACAGAAACTCAAAATAAATTTCTGTTTGAAGACGCTGCACAGAACAAAAGATTTCAGCCCTGAGCTTGTGCGGTGCAGAGCCTTTCCCATCTCTGGAGTTTGGGTAAATATTCTGCACCATCCTAGCAAGATAAAACTCAGGCAGGCACTGTCCCTCCTCCTAATACTGTGACTGCTCTGGGAAGTAGATCCAGATGCAGAACAGAAGACAGCCAAGGGACACCCTAGTGTGTACAGGCACATGCAACCTGTCTCACCATTTAGATTTAAGCTAAGAGCTCCAAAAAAGTCGAAGTTAAAGATTTGGTTAGTTTATACATTTGGGGATCTTGGTTCAAATCCAAGTAACAATGTTACTTGGATGTTGTGTCATTATATGCGTTTTGGCTACTAATACACATATTGGCCCAAACTCGTTATCTTTCCTGATTTGTTGCTGACTTTAGGCCCTGATTCAACACAGCACTTACATACAGACTTAAATAAATTGATTCAGGAAAGCATTCCTCTTTGTGTTTAATCTTCAGCAGACATTCAACTTCGAAATCAATGGGACTTATGAACAGGCCTGACCTTGGGGTCTAAATGGTTGCTGAATCAGTGCATTGACAGAAACATACTGGAAAAGATAATATCCATGTCTAATCAGAATTATAGCCTCTACTTTCATGGGAAATTACCCATAGATAACACATTATTCTGCTCAAGAAATCCATTTTATAGCATTTATTAGAAAGCCTTAATTCACATTGTCTGTTTATGCCAAAGATAGCAGATGAGCAGTGTCATTCCTTGATAGTGTATCTGTAATATTGTTTGAAAGAGAAAATAAAATACAGGAAAAGTGCTGGCATAAGGGGCCATTCCTAATTATTTACTGAGACTTTCTCAATTGCCTGCCACATGGCAATACTTTGGAGGACGGGCAGGAGGAAAATAAGGCAGAGTGGTTCTGAAATCCCATGGACATGAAGAAAATTGCCTATGAAATACCATGTTATGTAGTATCTAAAACTGAAATTCCTCACTTAGAATAACATTTATAAGAGCTGTTTGTCCAGTCTACCTATGGAATTTTGAGTGATCACATGTTTTTGTTATACCAGAGCAGCAAGAGTAAAAGGGGTGGATGTTTCTGGTATTGTGGTGTACAGGTTATGCAAGTGCAACTATGGCCAAATCTATGAAATTACGAGAAGCAGTTGGTAAAATAATTGATCCTATGTTGCATGAAATAAAATAATCTTCTTGCTATTCTTAAAAATTTTTCACCTTCAGTCTTATTTATTATATTACAAAGACAGCAAACAGGGACTCTTAAATGCTGTTTATACGGTTGAAACACATAGAAGGGGAAGTAAATTATGATGGGTCTCATCATGTCATCTAATTCAATGAAAGATAAGTATGAAGATCATAAGAAATGCAAGCAGAGTCAATGGGTGCTACCTTTCTGTACAACCATAGAAGGATACTGTGATCCACATTATTCCACTGGTCTGAAGGCAGAGTTTGGGAATAACACACAAAGAAAAGCTCTACAGCTAAACCTGGCTCAGTGGTAGAAACTCCCGCAGTTACCTGCATCTATCCTATTGCTGTCTACACTTGGTTTAAAGTTGGTGAGTCAGGAATATGCATTTGCTGTATTGCATGCTCATTGCATGCAAGCTCTGTATTGCCTGCAAACCTCTGAATTAAAGGGCAGCCTGTAAGGGGAAAGCACAGAGAGTCAGGACTTATCCTCCTGTGTAATTCTCAAATTACCAAAAAAAAGCTGAAGCTCCCTGTTCTGTCATATCAACTACTCTGCCCCAGGAGAGGGTGAGGTTAGAGCAAATCTGCATTCTGAAACAGTCACTGCTTCTCATAGGCATTTCCATATATGGTCATGAATTGAAGCTAAATGTGCTTAAATTAAGATCACCTGTTCTCAATGAAATCAATTAGCGCCTAGCAGACCCAAAAAGCTTATAGAGCTCAAGGTGAGCAAGAACAGGTCCTTGCTGGATCAAAGGCTTTTCCCAACCTGAAGAAGCACTGGGAGGAATAACGAATCTATGCTATGATGTTAGGATCTCCTTAATCGATTCTTTAGTTTCTGCGGAAATCTTACTGACACAGAGAATTTAATTACAGAGGTGAGTTTTGCAACTGATTTAAAGAGTCTGGGATTTCACTTTTTCAACTGTCCTTGTACCTTTGATTAGAGCATTGTAATGATTTTTCTATGGTGCATGTAGCATAGAGGTTGTAGAGAAAAAATGTTTCTCCCCTCACTTCACCAGTATTTACACTGTTATATTTTTGAGGAACTCAAAAGAAGTGACCTGCTCTGTGTTGTACCAAACACTTTCACTGTATGCCTATACCTATTTGTCCCAGTTATTCTCCTTTTTAACTTAGGAAGACTATTATTTGTGTCTGAAAATCCCTTTGATGAGTCTTTTGGCATTATTTTCTGGTTCTGCCTGCAAATATTAGGCCAAATTCTTAATTAGTATTGATTTGCCCTGATTTTGCCACAAACAGGCTGACTTTCAACTGCTGAACTGCTGGTCACTTAACTTTACTTCCTAATTGCTTTAGCTTTCTTTATTATTATTATTATTACTAAAGAAAGAACTAGTTCACCTTTTTTCTGAACACATAATAAGACATCCTAAGCCAACCTGATCACAAGGAAGGAAGGAAGCCCTATGGGTGCTGAGAATTCATATGTTTTTAACAGCAATCTGGCATATATTGTTGTTGTTCCCCATGGAAATAAACATGGATCTCCCCATGAAGTAAAAGCTCATCATATATTACACTATGCTAACTTCACACCCTGCTGCAGCACTCGAGCTAATGTGAGGTGAAATGCAACATACAGTAGCCTAAAATAGAAGAAATGCTTCCTAATGCTCATCCACAGAGGTGGGTAAAGAAAAGAAGTGTTTCCCCCTACTAGTGAATTTCTTTTTTTCCACGATTATCTGGAAACTGAAGCCACCAAAGATAAACTTTGTGGAAAGGACCATTCTGTATCCCACAGGGATGTAATGAAAGTAATCAAACAGCTAAAGAATCTAGATCAGAAAGATTTTTGGTTATGAGTGGTTTGTTTGTTGTGTTGTTTTGTTTTGTTTGGGTTTTTTTCCCTCTTTCTGTTCTGGCTTTTCTCCAAGCAGGAGGATAATTTCAACTCATAACAGATGTAGACCATCCCCTAAGACTCGGGATCAATCAGGTAGAAGGTGACGGTTTCCCTTAACATCTTGAGATTTATTTTGGTTTAAAAGTCTGTTTTGTGTCCTGCAGACCCATTATTTAGTAAAATAAATGCTACAAATGCAGCCATAGTATGCTTGAAAAAGAACAAAACTAGCTTGAGTTTATACTCAAATGTAAACTGTTTGTCACAGAGGAATAAGAAAAAAAGGCTCCTGATGCTGTGACAGAGTTAAAAGCAAAAGCACCACATGGCAAAAAGGGCAAGTGAGAAAAGACAATGAACAGGTGGTAGAAGAACAAGGGGAGGAGATAATAAAACAAGGGGAAAAGTGTATTAAAGAAAGAAGCTTAGACCAAAGAAGTGTGCACAGCCCCAGGGGTATGCTTGTGGCACTTCAAAAAAGGCCTGACTACCTTTCAGAGATAGTAAAAACAGAATGAAAAGAGGGAAGGGAGGCGTGACAGCCTGTAGCAGAGTTAAGAGAGTTGAGAAGAAAAACATAAGGCACACTGGTTATTTATACATCCTCCCACAGTTCTTTCTTTGTAAAACATCCTATGGCTTGGTTAGAGTGGAGGTAGGAAGAGCGTAAGTAGATGTAATGGCTTAATGCTGCTGATGTGTCTTGTAACTAAATAGTTTGATTTAGGATATCAGTGTTCTGAACACAAATCATCCCACAAACCCTACTGTGGGATGTATATCGGTAATAGAAGTGGTATCTGTATTGTAGGAACTTCAAATGCTCAGTTACTCATGAAGGAATCAAGGTGTTACACTATTAAAATTTGGCCCAAATAGGCCTGTATTTTGAGCACTTTTCTTCACTCATTGTGTTTGGTGTCACAGTCATCTTTTATGGAAGAAATGTAAATCCTTGACGTTTGATACACATCAAACAATCCTGAACTTCAGACACACATTGCTTTAGAAGGAACTACATGTGCTGTTCTATATAATCAAAACAAGGAAACAAATGGAATTGATTTGTTCTTTAGTGAAGTTACTGATAATATAAATGGGTCCAGAGTCTCTTTATGACTTTGCAGAAAGTTTAAAGGTCTCTTTTGAATCGCTATGTGATAATAGTTTAGCTTCTGCTCTGTATACAGCTTCATCTGTCCCATGAGTAGCTTCTGTCAGCACCTTGGGCTTGCTGGTCACAGCCCTGGGTGCATAAGTTTTCTTAGAAAGTGTAAGGAGCAAGTGTTGTTATTGCTTGTATTGAAATTGTTGGCTAAAACTCTTTTTTGGGGTTAAAAACCTCCATTTACTGTGGGTGCTTCTAAGGGTAGATATGTACCCTTCCTTCTGACTAACTGTTTTGGTGGTTACTTAACAGGAACTATTTATGATATAGCATTGGCTGCTCTTGATTATCTTCTGAACTCCTTCATACAGCACATCCTTCTAAGCACTCCTTAGAGCTGGTGAGACCTGACTGCTTGTGTAGTCAAGCACTATCTAAAGTCATACAGAAAGAGGGCTCAAGTCCTCCCTGTCGACTCATGTAATATGCAACTGCTTTCTCATGTGAGGAGAAACTATTTGCCCTCTTGCTTGAGATGGCTAAAAGCTTCTTCACTGGAAGATACAGAGCTTTGTTGCAGCTAATTATAGATGACTGGGCAAAACTAATCCCTCAAAGTTCCATCAATGAATTCCATGTTTTATGAACGTGCACTGTATTTTGCAAGCAGTCAATATCACAGATAATGACCTTTGGTAAATAGAACACCTAACAATGACGTTGGCAGACTTATAGAATTTTTTTTACATACAGAAATTAAATACCTTCTAAACAAGATATGTTTAAATTGGAGAATGCAAAGCACATGCTGTAGTCCTGAAAGAAGAAGTTGCAGAAGCTTTAATCCCGATTTCCCTAATGCTCAGTTTGTGTATAAATGTTCTCCTTTGCTGCTGTTTCTGCTGCTACAAATGAGGCAAGGCACAGCTAATGGGCACTATGTCAGTAAAAGATTTGAGCTATGGGGAAACCCCACCCATATTTTGAAGCTTGCAAGGTCAGGGTAGAATAGGTACCCTTGCCTTAGCAGCCTCTTTGGGCTGCTGTGGAGCAGCAAAACTGAGCCCTAACATAGCCAAGAATCTGGCCCTAAACATTCTCTTAAAAGAACAGGCAGATGAATGGTCTGGTTTACCGTTGAAGTTGGCAATAGTTAATTGAGAGAGACTATAATCGATACTTTATGTAATTTAAACCTGATGCAGCCAAGTAGCCTGCCTCTGAAACTTTCCAACGGAAGTTTGCAATATTCCCAGGACTCAATGGTATTTTGATGAATAACATTTCTAGCAAGCTAATTTTCTAGTTAATTATCATCAAACACCTAGACAGACTTTCTGCAATATTAGATATGCTTTGAAAAAAAAACCCCACAAAACCACCACCACTCTTCAACCATGGGCAGAAGGGAATTGCAAATTCATAGATATATACAGATTTTCAAATCTTGAACCAGCGGTTTATTACAGTATCTTGGTGGTAAAATATAGCATCTTATAGTTGGCAGATAGCAAAAAATAACATAACTGATTGTGAAATTTAGGACCATGATCCACAGAGAGAGACCTAAACTGTATATTAAAAAGTAAATTAAGTTGTAGTAGAAATTTTAAATGGCAAACCATGTTTTCCTTCAGCCAAATGTGTTCTGACCAAAAGGATTCTATGCATATTTGTTTGTTTTCCTTTTTTCTGAGGAGTGCTTTATTTCAACCTTACAGGGAAAAGAAAGAAACCTTACAATGCAGCTCACCAAAATTCACAGATCTATATAGATTTGTTATCCCAAGTGTATTATCCCTCTTCTAAAACACTTTGAGGTTACACTTAGTCATAAATATTTCTAGTCTACTAGTCTCTACTTCATTTTGTTCTGTGGAAGTAGTATGAAATGGAGGTACAGGCTTAAAAAGGAAAAAAAGCGTTACTGGAAGAAGCAAAGCCAGCTATGTCACTCTCTGCCAGACTCTGCATCCTTTCAAATTCATCCTGCTGGTACTAAGGCTTGTCC